TAAATAAAAGGGCCTCTTGCCGTAACACGTGACTTGGTACTAAATGTTAGAAGTAGTTCTTGGTTACTCCCTACGTGGCTGTCTGTTAGTTCCACATTGGTTGGTTTGCGTTTGTCTTGTATCGAATTTTTCTGATGCTGCTTTTGGCATGTTTGATTTATATTTTATTCATAGACCTTGACAGCATTAGCTATTTGGCCCACTTCTGTGTTAAAGGGTTGTTGAAAGCAGTCACTTGCGTGCTCCCATCCTGAGCAAACTGACAGTGAGATTTGAACATTAGTCCGCACAGTTGCGTGCGTGGCGGCTTTCAGCTGTTAGAGTCTTTGTCTGCCTTGGGTGTTGGGGCAGGCTGGGTTGGGTAGAAGGAAATGGGCAGAGTTTTGAGCTTGCCCCGGCTGTGTGGTGACATTTTTTTTGCTCTTTTCAGGAAGCAGAGGAATGTGCGGAATGTGAGTTCACACTCCGCTCGGCCAGAGTCCTCCTTCCCCCACCTCTGGCCACATCGATCAATGGAAGCTCTGTGTCGTCCACGTGTGCCCCGCCCTCGCTCTGCAGATTTCCTCGGTGATGGGGCCCAACCCATGCCAACAGCATTCGCTGGCTAGCTTTCGCAATGCCCACCCTCAGGATCTAAACCCACCACCTTCTGGACACACCTTCCTAAATCACTGAGCTACACCCTGCCCCTTCCCCCATGCGGTTTGTTGGGGTCTGTTCTCATTTGTATGGTGTGACCCTGATTTGCGGTACAGCATCCCATAATTTTGGGTATGACCAGGAGTTTTGCCATCTGTCCATCTCTGTCTCCCCCAAGTAAGTGATGTTGCCTCTTGCCCTGTCTCCATAGTAACGTGATTTTGGGGCCCCATATAACATGCTTTTTTGTTAAAAGTATGTATCAACGTAACTAGTCTTGCAGACTACTTGATTTCCGGCTCCTTGGCTGCGTCATGCTGTTCAGCAAGTTTCTTGCAATTCATTAGTAAATCCAGCTGTCGTACTCCATGGTTTATGTAAGGAATAATTGACGACGGGCCGTTGAATTATTAGAAAAATAATGCACACCCGAGGTGGTGATGCGGCCACGACGCGAAGCGGAGTCAATTATTCCGTTGAATAATTGAATAAACCGTTGAATTATTATTTTTCTAATAATTCAACGGTCCGG